TGATAATATGCCATATGTGCGACATTGACAGTCAGTAACAAAATGTGTGGGAATGATAATATACCATATATACAAAATTAGCAGTCACTACCAAAATGCGTGAGAATGATAATATACAAAATTAGCAGTCAATACCAAAATGTGTGAGAATGATAACATACCATTTATGCAAGTTTAAACAGTCAATACCAAAATATGTGGGATCCTATCACCTCCCCCCGTAAAGAGTGTAGGACTTGCTTTTTGGATCTATTTGAAAAGGTTTCGGAGCTCTTCTTTGTCGAGTTGACCTTTGCGTGGTACTGGATAGAGCGTGATCTGTGTGTCTGCCACATAACTGTCCTTTTTCATTCGTACGATAATGCAGCAAGAATTTATCCAAAATTTTTTCTGTTGTTCCCTCCCCCTTCGCTTTTGCATAAGCACGCTTAAAGGTGTCGACGAAACGTTCAGTAATAGTTGACGTAGGTGGGACACTGTTGCAATTGATGTGGCAGAATGCATAGGAAATATCTCTGGCCATTTGGAAAACGCGTCGACACATATTAAGAAATGCATACTATTGAACGGTCCAGCGAAGTCAACATGAACACGGGACCATGGTTTGTCCGGTCGTGGCCAGGAACATAGTTCTGTCTTGCGTGGACACTTTGATGCTTGAGCACATTTACTACACTTGCGAACGAGGTCTTCGATATGGTCATCGATGTTGGGCCAGTAAACATAACTGCGAGCGATCGCCTTCATTCTCCCAACACCAGGATGTGATATATGAAGCTGCCGAAGCACATGGTCACGAAGATTAGCTGGAACGACAACACGATCAGCAAACATTATGCATCCATTAACGATGGATAGGGATTTGCGTCGCTGGTAAAACTGTTTTAAAACATTTGAATGAACATGTGGAGGCCAGCCAAATCGGATGAACTTTGATACTTGCTGTAAAACTGGATCACGCAGTGTGTGTCTGGCAACCTCAACTGCAGTCACCGGAAGATCGTCCAGAGAGATAGACATTATAATTGGGTTGTAATTAACACAGTCAAAAATGTTATATAGTTGCGCTGAACAGAATAAAAACTGTCGTCGTTTGCTTGTTATAACTGCGATGAATTAAAGTAAATCCCCGTCGCCAATTGTTATAACTGCACTGAATTAAGGTAAACCCCGTCGCCAATTTGTTATAACGGTAGGGAATTGAATGAAGACGTTTTCACCTTATTCTGTCTGCGCCTGAACTAATCTGTCTATCTGCTCGTCGTACCTTCCGACTTAGTCAAGCACGCAAATATCAAAAGACAAAGGCTGGACTGTGACTGTGTATTGAAGTGCAACAACGATAAAGAAAGCCATGGTATTTATACATTTTACAACAATATGGACAGCTAACAGCATTTGAAATAATTGACCTTAATAGCCAATAACAAAGTGTGTGAGAAATGATAATATGCCATATGTGCGACATTGACAGTCAGTAACAAAATGTGTGGGAATGATAATATACCATATATACAAAATTAGCAGTCACTACCAAAATGCGTGAGAATGATAATATACAAAATTAGCAGTCAATACCAAAATGTGTGAGAATGATAACATACCATATATGCAAGTTTAAACAGTCAATACCAAAATATGTGGGATCCCATCAGCTATACAGAACTTTCCAGAGCCACAGACGGTGAAAAGTCTCCGCACTTTTAACGGCTTAGTAAGTTATTATCGACGCTTTATTCCCAACTGTGCCTCTTTGATTCAGCCATTGACAGACCTCCTTCGAGGGAATAACAAGTCCATAGAACTTGACGCGTCTGCTCGAAATGCTTTTACCCAGGTTAAAAAAGCTATTGCGAATGCCACACTTCTGATGTATCAGGATCCAACGGCACCGTTAAGTATCTCGGTTGATGCATCAAACACTGCAATCGGCGCAGTTCTACAACAGCTAGTTGACAAAGAGTGGCAACCACATGCCTTTTTCTCCAGGCGCCTTCAATTAGCTGAAACGAAGTACAGCACATTCGGCAGAGAACTTCTGGCTATGTACTGTGCTATACGTCATTTTCTACATTCAGTAGAGGGTCGTGAATTCATAATTTTTACTGATCACAAACCTCTGACGTACTCTCTGAACTCACCTTCAGATAAGTATTCACCTAGGGAATCACGACAACTGGATTACGTTTCACAGTTTACATCAGATATTCGCCATGTATCCGGAGTAAACAACACTGTGGCAGATGCCTTGTCGCGCGTTTGTTCCCTCACCCAAATCGACGGCATAGACCTTGTAAAACTGGCTCGTCTTCAAAAAGAAGATACCGAGCTTCAACATGAGTTGTCGAAAACAACTCTACAATTAGCTGAGAAACCCTTAGGTATGGGAAGAGATACTATTCTATGTGACATTTCCACGAGTACTCCTCGCCCCATCGTGCCTAAAAGTTATCGCCGTAACGTCTTCAATACGTTGCATGGCTTATCTCACCCAGGTATTCGAACTACTGTCAAGCTCGTAACTAGTCGGTTTTGTTGGCCTGGCATTAATAAAGAAGTAAGGGAATGGGCACACACGTGCTTAGCTTGTCAAAAGTGCAAGGTGATAAGACACACCAAAAGCCCACTTGGCACCTTTCTTCTCCCTGACGCTCGTTTTGAACACGTCCATATAGATTTGGTTGGACCCCTTCCTGAATCCCATGGATATACTTATATTTTAACTTGCATCGATCGCTTCACACGATGGCCGGAAGCAGTACCCATCAAGGATGTATCTGCTGAAACAGTCGCACGCGTCTTCGTAGAAAGATGGATCGCTAACTTTGGATGCCCATCTTCCATAACAACTGATCGCGGGCGGCAATTCGAAAGTGGCTTATTCTTCGCCCTGACTAAAATCCTAGGTTGCATGCGTTTTCGAACAACAGCCTACCATCCTCAAGCTAATGGTATGGTAGAACGTCTACACAGACAGCTGAAAGCTGGTCTGTCAGCTGCAAACAACACCCATTGGACTGAATCCCTACCGTTAGTTCTCCTAGGGATACGAAACGCCTTGAAAACCGATGCTGGTTGTACTAGCGCCGAGCTAGTATATGGCACGACACTGCGACTGCCTGGTGAATTTGTTTCTCCCTCGAGCTTCCCACCAGTGGTAGATCACGCTTCATACGTCAGCAGGCTTACAAACGCAATGCGTTCAGTTAAACCTGCTCCCCTTCGTCCACAGTCCATTGATGTTTTCGTTCATCCGTGTTTGAAAACTTCTTCACATGTATTTGTTCGTCGCGACTCTGTGCGCAGATCCCTGGAACCCCACACGACGGACCTTATAAAGTAATTAAACGTTCTGATAAATTCTTTGTCTTGGACAAAAACGGCCGCGAGGACACCGTCAGCATTGACCGTCTGAAACCGGCTTACTTGGAGGGTAATCCTATTAGCATAGAGCTGAACGTACACCAAAATCCACAAGTAACAGAAGATCGTTTAGACATCGATGAAGTCACTAGCACAGCGACAGCTACCGAACCTTCTATCGAGCCTCCCAAGAAAACCCGTTCTGGACGCACCGTAAGGTTCCCAGAATATCTGCACACTTATTTGACTTAACGAAGTCGTGTGATTCACGCAACTCATTCGTTTGTGGTACTAACTATTTTTTTTGACGTATCATTATTTTTTATATACAGTACCACTGAACACAAAATTTTTTTCCAACAGTTCATGTAACATACACAAAAAAATTAATTAGATGTATTTTTTTCCGATGTTCTGAACTTAGCATTATTTTACTGTATAGTAAATGCACATCATTTTTTTAACAAAAAAAGCTGATTTGGTACATTTTCCTCGACATGGTTCTTAGCGTTCTTGTTTTCTTTTCCAGGTGCGACGGGCACTGGACAGGAAACAAACGAAGCACGGGATCCAACGAACAACAACAAGGAAGCTATGTACAAACACCCTATTAGCATAGGCAGACAAACCAGTAGGCATACGACCAAGCCGCTCGGAAGATTTTTTTCACCCGAAAGGGAACCATCGAGTTATTTTACTTCCGGCTGGTTCTGTCTTAGGGTCCTCACGACCCCACTAGGGGGGGAGTGAGCTGTAGCGGTAAATAATTCCCCAAAATTATTGACCACAGCAATCACTCACCATTGGGTGCTGACCACCACTATGTAAATCGACTTGTTTAGCTGAAGGCTTCCGGTCAAGCATCCCGCCATTTGGTACCCCGTCGTGTCACGTGCACGATCACTAGCTAGCTAAGCGTTCGTCTGAAGGCTTGTTTTGGTCCCGAAATATATCACGAAGTTTGGACGATCAACTATTGGCTTTTGCCTTGTTTTCGGTACGCGAGAATAATTTAGAGGCTGTGTGAGATAATTCCGTCAAACCCCTAAACCTGTACGGCTCATGCAGCTACGGCACTATCCGTGAATAACTTTAAGTGAAGACTTGACAGTCATGAAACGATACAAGGACTGCGTTCAAACCGCCTGTCCCCTTAAAATACCAAAAACTATTAATCGGCAAATACCCAAACTCAGGGTTTTATTTCTCCACATTCCCTCCTGTCTACTCCAAATATTACCTCCCTTGGAATGTTACTGTTGATGTGCATACATGTATATGTGTACGTATACAAATGTGCTATGCAGAAGTATAAATATGTATATCGACTTCAAATTTCACCAGCTGTCAGCTTTTACGTTTACAAATTTTTTTTAATTCACACCACCTACACTTACAATAGCTCCTATCATTATCTATTATTTGATGACGCCGGATGAATAACGGATGAAAGAGTCAACTTCATTTAAAGTAGCGACACGGTCTTAACACAACACAAACATCAATCCATACATAACCAGTCTCCTCACCACTCTTCTGGGGCTCAGCCAAGGCTGCAGCAGTCGAATGAAGGGACGAACTACACAGAAATTCACCGAAGATCAGGAACCTTTACGTCATAGTCAAGAAGCGAGTACAGAAAAATCAAAGTGGCCTACAGTATCTTGCAAAACTGATATTGGATATATTGATTAGACCAACTGCAAAGCGCTCTATTTGACGAATTCAGCTACCGTGACTATTTCGATGCAATGAAGCGTCTGGGGAAAAATAAAAAGAAGCGTTGGCAGTATTGCTACAAAGATCTTGAGTCCAAGCTGCAAGATGCTGAAAAGCATAGAAAAATGTGAGTTTTCCATAAATGACTCGTGAACTGCTTCAGAATCAAGCAAGGCTTTACTGAAGTATCTACATGTATAAAGAAACGTAGGTGTCATATGTGCTATTTCTGAACAAGGTTAAGGTCCTATCGTGAAAGGCGATAAGGATTCCGCAAAGTCGTTCCGAGATATACCATCCGCATCAGATGGAAAAATACGTATCCCGCGGACAGATATCCAGAAAAAGCGTCGTTTGGAGAAAGATGTCTGGGAAGGTCTGATAGTTTCTTATCCGATAACTAGATTTAGATAATTCGCTGACTGCCCTGCCAACTGTTAAACAAGATGCTAGTAAAAGTGCAGAAGAAACAAAGATCAGTGTCCCTCTACCGTGCGCCGGACAGTCATATAACCCGACATTGCAGGACCATCTTTCTCTAATGTCACGAATTGAAATGATTGAATCAGCCAAAAGAAAACGCGAAATGAAAACGGAGCGTTTTGTCGAGAGTCTCAGGGGCGTGAAAACGGTAGGAATCACTAGTAATATGTGTTATTTTTAGGAAGTGAATCCCGTGAGAGATATGAAGAAGTTCTTACAGTCACTAAATGATAAGCCTCAGTTAAAAAGTGAAAATGAAGAACCTGAAGTTTTACCTCGTTTGAAAAAGCCCAAAAAGGTGAATGTCCAGAAGAGGATGAAACACGAACTTGAAAAGTATAATGTTATATATTCACAAAATATTTTTTAGCCTGCCAAAACTACTTAAAGAAATAAAACGCGAGAAAACAGCTAGATCACTGCGCAAATCGTCAAAAGCGGCAAAGCGGGAAATGCGCAACAAACTGAAAACGATGGATATGAACATCCCATTCCACTTGCCTAATGAAATACCTTCGTCGCTGAGGAAGCTTTGTGTAAGCATGAGTTTGTTTTAGATTCTTTCAGTTTTTCTTTTGAGTAAGACTTCAACATGTCCAATGTACTTTAGTCTCAAGTAGTGCTGCTTTTTCTGTGATAATGAAGACAGCAGTCAGCACTCCCCATTTTTGTGTTATGGATAGCAAAAATGAAGTTATGGAAGTGTGTTAATAGATTGATTGCAATGTTGGGAAAAATCTTCTCTAAGGTCCTTATTTTGTGTGTACTTTAGACAATATATTGTGGAATTAGCCACCACAGTGATTGCATGTCAGGTGATAGAAAGTGATTCAGTGAAAGCCTAGATGCAATATTCTAAATTAAGTGTAGTCTTTGGTATATTTTTTAAAACCCAATTCTTTAATTTCGTTGTTATTAGTCTTCCACTTGTCACGTTCAGAGTTAGACATAAGATCTCATCCGCATATGTCTGTCTCCATTACTAGTTCCAGACTGCGCTCAAGCTTCCTCTACTATGAGACTGCTAAACTTGTCTCCCCATTCAGATCCCACTCTAGGACATGCTTAGCGTGCGATATCACTCGAGTATCTCAGGGCATGTATAATACATCTCCATATATATATCAGTCATTAAGTTGTTTACTGGGTGGCTGTTACAACTTTTTGTTTATCATTCTTCTTAGCTGGTCTGTTCCTGAAAGTCAAGTCACCTAAGTCAGTTATTGGTAAAGGTCTGCAGCAAGTTATTGGAATTGGTTTAACTAATTTACATTCTGTCTTATATATGTATGTGTGGGGAAGAACTCGTTTAACGCGTATCTGATATTTACGGCAAGGCTCATCTTGAGGAAGCCTGGCACGATAGCCAATCAACTGTGTGTACAGCTGCAAATACCTTAAATAACCTAAAGTCAAAGGCTAGTAAAAGCCAGTGGATTTCCACTACTTCATCTGAACTGATAAACTCAAGAAAACTGATTTCATAGGGCTCCGAATATGAGGAGCGAAAGCTGTTTAAGATGTCTTCAAAACGTCTGGGATTCAGAGATAGTGCCGTCGGACTTGTGTAAGTCACTGATCATCTTGGTTTACAAGAAGAGTAAGAAGTCTTCCTATGGTAATCATAGGTGGATTGGCCTGGTCATTATGGTATCTGAAATGTTAGGATCAATAATCATGAGTAGATTAGGTGGTGCTCAAGAGTAACAAACACATCAGGCCTTAGACAAGGTAGGGGGTGTACTGATCATATATTCATCCCTCGATAGATTCTAGAACATGGGCATACTTACCGGCGTCCAACCCGAATGCAGCACTCGACTTCGTCAACCGAGAGGTGCTTTGGCAGTGTTTAGCCATGAAGGGAATGCTGAGGAATTTCATCGCACTGAACAAGGCACTCTACTTAATCTCACGAAACCATGTAAGGGCTTATGGAGAGTTGTCATCCGAGGCGATAACAACCAGTGGTGTCCGTCAGAAGTGCCCACTGCCCCTTTTTGTTTAGTTTCAGCATAGATGTACTTATGGAACCACCCCTAACTGATTTCAATGACTTAGGGATTGAATTGTTACCAGGTGATAGTCTTGTTAACTTAAAATACGCGGATGATATAGTCCTAGATGAAGACACTTGTAAAATGCAGTCTTCTGAAGATCTTAAGCAGAAATCTTCGAGTGTTTTTCATGTGATTTGCTCCTGTCAAATGTAAAATGATGTTACAAGACTGAACTACATCTTTGAAAGTTGGTTTGAGCTACGTAGGTAGGTGTGGACTACCTGGTTTGGGTCCTCGGGATGCTAAAAGCCAATGGCTGGAGACAGTCGGTGATATGGCTCGAAATCGTTCTCAATCCCGCAGATGCATTCACTCTCTATGGTCTGCCATATCCAAAGAAACTTTGCTTTTCTAAGTTGTTATTCTTTCTTCCTCACATTTCTGCTTACTATTGTTCTTCCGAATATTTCTTTTGTCTTCCTTGGTTCGCTTCATGGAGTGTGGCAACTCAAACTGTTGCACTTGTTTACGAAATCCTATGTCAAGGTCAGTCAGCCAATGATATAGAAACATTGACCTAACTTTAATTTTCGAACTTTGGATTTTATTCGTAGTGCTGGGTGTTGTAGATCTTCACAGTGCTCCCAGAATAGTGGATTTCTGTCTTGCTTTCTTCATCCGATTCTGGCTTTGAAATACTCACCCATACTGCCGGCAGTTGAAACGATCGATGCTGCCCATGTAAGCAAAAGAGACGACTTCCTTTAGATTTTTTCCTATTGTTGGTGACGATTATTTCTTATTTGTTGGATATTCTCATGATCTCTATCTGTTTCTGCTGGCTTCTAGTGGTGTTGAAGAGTGGCTAGGCGAATTTCGAATCAGTTACCAAATAGGTCGGATTTTAAGTGCTACAGTTCAGTTGGCCGGGTTACATTTTCATGTAGGAGGCTATGAGTGGCACTTATTATCTAAAGTGTGATGATACTATCTAGTTATCCAGACAATTAGATTGAATAAAGCAACAAACAATCAATGAAACTTATCGCGTGCTATTACACGTGTTGCAATTCCCTTCCCGATGATAGTTAACGAATACTGTTTGAACTTGTTAAGCATGACTGTTTTCCTTCCAGATGAAGTTCTTTATCCGTTTTCTACTTATATATATATATATATCTTCTTCCTTTTGGTCTATGTTGTTTTGTTATTATTGTGTGGCGCATCCTTCTTGGTGCCATACTGTGCCAAGCTTTTATGCATTTAAATAAAATAAAAAACCGTTTGAAAGTCAAGTGCTTGTTGCCTATGAACTATGTCTCCTACCTTCTTCCGCTTGGATACGCTATGGTATTTGCTTCAAAGTAGTTTAGGAAGGGTGTAGTGAGATCTAATGAGTTATTTGATCTTGCTTAGCTAACTACAGGCTCCTGGATGGACAGCTGTATTACTTAAGAGCAGTCAAAATCTGTGACGCAGACACGTTATTCCAATATACGTACTAAGTTTTGTGTTAGTATGGTGTCACTCGATTTTGATATAACTCGTGGTAATACAGTCTGCAGAGTTAGTGTTTATTAAACACTTTACAACACAGTGTTAGGGTTTTCTATCGCTAAAGGAGCACTGTCATTGAAGCAGTAGGCGGACCCTTCATCCTTGACTGAATTTGTTTTTGAATTAAAACAACGGCTTAAATTTGTTACTCACATTAAACCAACAAGTAGAGTTTGCGTGTTTTAACTTATGACTTAAGTCACCGGGACAGGTCACGTGTTTTCGGCGAATTCTTAGTGATCGTATGTCAGCCCAAAGCTTTGTTAGTAATATTATTACATTAGTGCTTGAACACAGTTTTGCATTCTCCCTTTCCAGTCATTAGATATTTAAGTGCTTCGTCACACCATTCAGTCTGTTTTACTATAAAACCATTTCGATTTTCTCCTTTATAGCCAGAAGGATATCTAATCCATGAAATTGAACGTCGGCGAAATAAATGTCCGCGGGCAAGAAAAACACTGGGCAATAAAAGAAACAATACATCCTTTGAACGTAAACGCGAAACGAACATCTCTTCATAATTTATTACTTATCCTTGTAAATATATAAAATACAATGGTAACTGATTTATTTCCTATACAAATATAAGGCATTCACTAAAGAATTGACTCATATTTATATATTTCTGATCTAAAAGAAATGTCGCAGTTATACAGTGCTAAATGTTTAGTAGTGCGGCGCTAGGTGAAATTCCTCAGAATAAATAGTCACAGCATTCATCACTGAATATTGGATGCTGCCGCTCACTGTTTATGTCGACTTGTTTAGCTGAAGGCTCTCGGTCAAGCATCCCTGCCATTTGGCACGCCGTCGTGTTACGTTCGTTCGTACATGATCCCCAGCTAGTTAGGCAATCATCCTCGCACAACGAATTTGGTTTGGAAATATACTTCGTATTTCGGACGATCAATCCTGGTGTTTTGTCTTTGGTCTACGTGGAACTAATACCATAGGAGTTGTAGGGATAATATCTTGCGTTAGTAAATATCGTATAATGTGTGAACGTCAATACCCTCAGCCTCTTAAGTAGCTACACCTGGGTAAATGTTTGAAGATGATGCAAAAACTCAATTTTGACGCTGTATGTTTTCACTGGTTGTCCTCCTTCAAATGCATTCTTTATATTTTTTGACTATCGTCATTATCTAGGAGAGGTTCATTTAAATGAGGAAAGAAGTATTCTATCGAAAAGGCTCTTCGGCGAATTTATATTCCTTAGCTGTACCATCGCATTTATGCAGATTTTGTTTTTATTAAAGAGGGCAGTGACAAAAGTAATGAGTTGTCATAATCACAATTAATCATATTATTCAATACAATAAGGGGAGTTGAATAAGTGTGTTAGATATACGTAAGAATTTTAATGAGTTGTAGACATCGAAACGAAGGGAAATATATTACTTAAAGGTTGTGAAAAAATACAAGAGTTAGAAAGCAAACAAAATCGAAACAGAAAAGAACAAGGTTGTTTCCATGATAGTAGAAGTAGTTGGTTGGACTTTTGTTTGCAGAACTCCACTCCCTCTATCCAAATGACTAGAGCTTCGGCAATGCAGAGGAGACGTAACTGTATAATCTTTGGCAGATTGTTCTTCACTTTGTAGATTACTTTGAAGGAGCAGTTTGTTGAGATGGAATGACCAGTTTTGACAAGACGTGCAACTGTCCTCCATATAGAGCCATGCTGCCTTTCTGCAGCCACGCCGGATAATGTTCTTGAACCCTTTCATATGGAATACGGGTCGAATGACCAACACAACTGGCTCCACAGGAACAGGTTCACTTTCTGCGCTATTGTCAAGCGTAGAGTGATGGCAGCGAAAGCAACAAACTGGTATAGTTTATTAATGCAAAGGGAAACAAAGCAGCTGACATGAAGTCTTTCGGACTGAGAAACTAACCATCAGCTAAGAACGGCTTTCAAGACTTTGTATTACCAAAGCAAACAATTTTCAGTGACCTCAAACAGTTGCACTTCGTGTGTAGTTTTAATATTGATTCTTAACTCGGTCAGTTTCTAACAACTGCATATCATGGAGCAATTGAATTACTCGTGTAAATTAATTACTCCTTTGCGTATGAAGACAACGTTTGCATTCATCTTGACAGTTTAAAACCTATCACCTAATTTGAAATTGAATCAACCATTAATCATATCCAATAATTCCTCACATTAACCGATTACGTGATTCTAGTCAAATTTAATTTACCACACGGTGCGTCGGTGGCATAGCGGTAGAATGCTCAAGGATTACGCATGTGGTTTAAGGTTTGATCCCCGGCCGACGCGCTCCTTCACCTCGCTAAGTCGGTAATACTGTCGTCAAAGAGGGAAAGTTGGGCATGAGTCTAGCAACCCCACCCCGTAAAAACAAACACCGCTGCTACCGAAATTTCAAAGTTGAAGCCCTTTGTTCCACTGGGAACGTAAAGGAATTTAAAAAGAAACACGTTTTGGGATTTCACAAGCTACAGCAATTTACTGACTTAATTTCGCCAGTGAATTCTTAGACACTTCAACTTTCTGATTTATTGAATGAGTAAACTATGTGCAGGTGAGTATCGACCGTGGCAATATTAGAATAGTTTTCCTACCTCATGAATACACTAAGCAATTATTCTAAATCTGCTCCTATACTAAATGGTCATATTTAATAGGAATCTTAGTTTTTAATGAGCAATATGCTGACGATGAAGACAACAGTAACCTACTATGATTTGAGAAAATGACAGAGAAAACAGACGTGCATAGTAGTGAAAGACTTATATTGTTTATTATGGTAAAAATATTAGGCAAGGTTCTTCTTAGCTGCAATGTGTATATGTTTTTCAAGCTTATCTGTAACAGAATAAGTTTTAAGAGATATGAAGAAACTTACATATTTTGTGCCTTCCACGAATTGGGAATTTAATGAGAGTTTCGTGCGGATCATTGCAGATGAAAACATAGGGACTCTGAGATGGTCCATTCGGATACTATTAGAAGAATTAAAAAGAAAGAAAGAATTAATTATGAAGCATATGCCTGTGTAGTTAACCTAGTTAAAGAGCGATTAGAATAAAGAGGGTGTAAGACAGCTTGAAATGAAAGTAACAAGAGTGAGCAACACTGATTATTAAGTATTGTGAGGATAAAAATTAATGAGCTGCAAATAAGGTGTCTGAAATTTAAACTCCCGGCAACTGGAAGCACAAGTTGTATTTGATGTGGGATCTTCGGGCTAATTTATACTTTATCACACAAAGCATTACTGACTTGTTTCAACAAGTGATGCAATAATTTTCTTTACTGTGATTAAATCCACTTTGTATTCTAACCGAATTCACAAACGCACTAGGGCATAATTTCTACCCGACATAAACTTTTCTTCGTTTCATACTGTCTTAATTCTCTAATTACATCGTTGTATCACAGTGTGCACTGACACACATTTTTAATCGACCTACTGCAGTGCACTTCAAAAAAGAAAAATGTCGTAAAGGATTCAGTCTTGTTTGAGACAGGAAGACGTTGAGTCATACAATAAACAGTCCATTACTATTTTAAAGTGATGCTTTTATACGTAGGATGTTTTGCAAGGGCCAAAGAAGTCGTATTCACTGATTTTATGCGGTTGGGATGTTCCTAAAAAAGTGAAAGAACGAATGTCTGGTGCTTACGACTGGACTGATGGACATGTTTGTCTAACTAGGGGAGCTGGAAAACCTTAATTCTAAGTGTATGGTGTGCATGGGTTTTAGAAATCGAATGGGAACGCCGCAGCTCCTGACGTTTCTCTACTGCCTTGTAGATCAAACTTCAAGGATAGCCTCTTATGACAATCACCTGCTTCGAACAGCATCTGGGCCTTCGTTCAAATTATGAGATTTTGTGTGGAACATATTTTGATGTTTCAATAATAATAAAAATTGTCTTGCAAAAAATTACTCGGAGAAGTCCGTGTTGTTTGTAAAGATATTATCCAGAATAAAACTATTATTATTATTAAAAGTAACAAGAAAAAGGCGAATTCAGTTGTAGACGGTTATTGATTATCAATTCCAATCAACAAAAATACCCAGATAGAGTCTTAACAGAGTGTGTCAGCATAAAAATTGACTCCTTCCTAAACATCAATCCCTGTCTTTCGATAGGAAGGGCAACTAAAGAACTGCAAAACTGAATTACCCACTGTGTCAGTATTAATAGCTGCTTTATTCAAGACTCCACCTCAGTGTATACTAGGAGCATTGTCTGTTCACCTGATTGAGTCATGCTGCCAAAAATACTGATTATAGTCTTCGAAATAATGGAGAGGATCCATAGTTCAGATGATTGATTTTTTTAAGTATGGTTGTGTTCTCTAACGTGGGTGGTTTAACAGAGAATCTCTCATTGTCTTTCTGGACGACATCGTCAGTGCATACTTTAAAATGTGAAGTCAACAGTAAATATATAATTAGCTGGATCAAACACACTACGCCTCTTTGGAAGAGATAAAAAGCTCACCTTTTCACGATACTCTTCTTGCGTTATCACATCGACAATATTAACTCGGCCAAGAAGACAACTGGTTGGATATGACGTTGGCATGTCTGATTTGGCAACAACGCCTGTACACAACCGAAGATAAATCATATTTTTAGGGGTCTAATCATTAATAACATGAGAAAACGTAGCTACACACAAATATATTTATGTGAAATTCGTGTGTAAATAGTGCTTTAGAATATGAAATTGATGGGGGTGTGAGTATTAAACAACTTGTGAATTTATCAGTGATCAAATCTTCATATAGGTGTAATATTAACCTTTAGAGACAGTGAAGTGTCATTGAATTCAATTTTAGATTTTCCCGTCGACCGAAGTGCTCGGTCTTAGGTTGATATATCGGCTTCTTGTGCAGATGCTTCAGAAATTGAATTAAATAATTAATATGACCCATTGCACAAGAGGTGGCTGTCCTGACCGAAGTGGTCTAGTGGATAACGCTTGGCGTTTGAAACTATGGGCACTGGGTTCGAGCCTCGGTGGGAACATCATCACTCATTGCGGGTAAATTCAGATGACGAGTCCCAAATAGGACGAAACGCGCATCTTGAATTCCACTGCTAGTTACCATCCACCAATTAACTTCTACTGAAGTGTCATGTTTGAATTTGAGGATAATGGACAAGGAGTTCCGTATTGAATTATTACAATGATTAATATTTGAAATTTAAGTTCTAAGTCCTTTTAAAACAATTCTTCTGCTACTTATTGGATGTTCGTTTAAAATAAAACACCATTGGAAAGGGAAAAATAATTGGCAGTCTACTACACCAGGACGGGAAGGATACCGTTACCCACTCTTTCCATAGGCGGGAGATGTCAGACACTTTCGGACAGCTTTTTAACAGAAAAGGAGAGGCTGCATAAAGTTTATCAAGAAACACCAATGTTTTCAATCTTTTAATTCATGAAATCACCTGCAGGATATCTCGGAAGTCGTAAGTATTCTAGGAGTTCGATTACACGATATACTTGCGATTTCATGAACACGCTTCAGCCTAGCCAACATTCTCAATGAAGGTTTACAAATAAATAGAGTTATTACATCCCTTAAAAATTATTGTTTTTACAAAAAACTGAAAAAGATTGGTTCTCCCAGGTAGATTTCAGATACTTTCTAAATTTGTTTTTTTTAAATATTTAACACAAAATCATTATTAACACTGGTGTGACATCATGCTACTCATCAAAAGATGTGTGTACTGTGCATTATCTCATTTCGTCCTACTTTGAATCTGTAAGACATGCCCATCAAAAGAAAGAGATATTTAGCCTCAAGTGAGTCTTCACAGTCTCTTGAATTAATTAATGATCAAGTCAGACTTAGTGTTAGGTTAGGAGGGGGAATTAGTGGATGAAGTTCCGAAGCTTCATCGATTAGTAACTTGAATACGTGTTACCTGCACAGAGCCGCCGCCATCCTCAAACCAATAAAATAGGAATAGTTTACAAAAGTTAGAAGGCATCATAATAAAAAAAGGCGCCAATCAACGAAACCAATGACTGTTATTCCAGGTGATTTAGAGATGTAGACTGCTTAAGTGGGCTCCTCAGATTTCTGATAATCATTGGTTGGAAAGAAACTTGAGAATATGACTTGAAGTCGTTCAAAGTTGAGCAGATGTACTTACACCTTTTCATCATCCACATTCTGAAAACCTTCACTAATCTTATGTTTGAGTATTTGTACGTGTCATAGTTTCATTATATTTGTTTTCATTACCTGTATGTGTGATACTTCGGCTGCCACATTATGTGGTGAAATCTTTAATGTTTTTCGCATGTGTTTTACTGAGTACAATTTGTTACAGTGCAAAAAATAATCAAATAAAGCAAAGAAACGGTGATAATTTACCTGTTTTTAAATATTCATCTTCAATTTCCGAAATTTCTTCTGGAGAAGGGTTACGTGCAGTTGACGCTATCCACAGACAACCACGATGAGGACTATACCATGTTCTACCTTCTTCTCTATTTAGAAATAAATCATACAGATGAATGACTCAGTCAATATACTTAATACATGTTGCACACAATTGGAAAACAGTGTAATTAATTACCACAAGGTTTTCATCAACACAGTATTTTAAAAACGAATTGAGAATACCATTTGACTAAATCATTGTTGGAGCATTAATTAAATCGCAGATGAGTTTGACAACCAGTAGTAGTAGTGGATAAGTTGCTCTTACGATTCAACAGTAAGGTATACAAAACACCAGATCTAGTCGAAGACTTTGAGGTGTTAGTCCCGACCCTTTGAATTGACAACGGTTAGCGTCAGAAGCTGAGTTCTCATGACGATCAGTGACCAAGACAGGTTGATGACCCACTTGGTCCGTTGGAATTCTGGAGCCTGTATACACCATAAGCATGAAATCAGGGTTTTCCAGTTCCCTTAGGTAGACCAGGATGTTCAGCAGTCCGGTCATTTGTTCTAGATGTTTGCATTCGTCCTATCACTTTTTTGAGAAACGTCCGGCCGCATGAAGGTAGTGAATAAGACTTGCCTATCAGAGACTATGAACACGTAGTCACATGAGAGAATCTTGAAGGGAAGATTGAAGTCTATTCACCCTCGGTACTACCATGTTGATCATGGAGGTGACATGTACACCTCCAATTTCGTCACACAGCCACTCAAAACAGCACACTTTAGAAATGAAGTCAAGTGTTCCCTATAAGGTACGTACATGAAAATCAATTCAGAAATATGTAAAGCACTAAATCACACGTTTCATATGCATGCATGTTTTATATTGAAGATTTCTTAAGATTACAGAACTAGCTGTATTACAGCAACTAACAACTACGTTTAACAGATACCTCTCATTAACTCACTGACTGAATTTCTATGTAAAACTTTGCATAAAAGTACAGTAGTTCAAGTTGCTACACTTCTACATAGCACACAAACGTTAGAGAAAAAGACAAAAATAGTTCAAAAGGATAAGCATATAGAGAAATAACGAGGATTTAATGGATCTGTGAGATTTTGAGCCACATCATCAAGAGTCTTATCAAGCCATTGATTTTCAGCGTCTTAAAGAACCCAACCAGGAGGTCTGACACCGCCCTACATAGCTCAAACAAACAATCAAGGATTTCATAGACCGATGCCACATTTTGATCTGACCACTCCCGACTGCTTTCCGATGTAATCCTATGCCAGCTTCAGTTGCTCGACGAGGAAGGTAGATTTTCCGACTGTGTTCTGAAAATGAGGTGATGTGAATCCATATCGATTTTGTAATAACAAGTAAAGTTCGTGGCTTCTGATAATCTTATTTTTTATCTACTGATAGAAAATGTATGCATTGCGATTATTAATACTTATTAATTTACTGAAAAAGCATCAAAAAACAGTATAGAAATGCTAGTACTTTCAAGTAAATTTCCACAAAATATTTGATTATTCAAATAAAAGACAAGCTTACAACTTAATCCCACGTACTAATAATGAAGCCCAGGGTTGATGAAGGCTTAAACAATAACCTTCATCAACTAGTTGTCTTGATTCATCATCTTGTATGCGTAAGAGAGAATTTGGCTGATTTAATGCCATTACGACAGGATTTTGATTATTATTTGCTTTGTTATTCTCTTTATTAATTTGTTGAGGGATAAACTAGAAAGGACGAAAACAACATGAGTAAAAAGATTATTATTTAGTGGACAGTTGTACGAATTATTCATGTTATGCGTGAGAAATTGGAAAGAACTTATTATTGAGCCTATCTAAAGTTCTAGGCTCAACAATCATGCATACGCTAATAAGTGGTGCTCGGGAGGAACAAACACGAAAGAACCAGGAAGGCTTTAGACCAGGAAGAGGGTGTATTGATCATATCCTCACTCTTCGATAGATTCTGGAACAGACGTAGTTACCGGCATCGAAAAGTTGTCATATTTCTTGACCTGAAAGCGAAATTCGATTCAGTTAGCAATGGGGTACTATGACGACGTTTGGCTGTGAAGGGAGTGCCGAGAAACTACATCGCACTGACCACGGCACTCACTTTACTCGAACTTATGAAGTCAGCCAAGTGAGAGCCTGCAGCGAGTTGTCATTTCAAGTGGCGACAACCAGTGGTGTCCGTCAGGGATGCTGACTGTCCCCTTTTCTATTTACTTTCACCATAGATGTACTAATGGACTTAACCATAACTGACTTCAGGGATTGACTTGTTACCATCAGGGAATAATATCGTTGACCTATAATATGCAGACGATACAGTCCTTCGTGAAGAGGACGAGAAAATGCAGTCTTCTGAACATCTTGAGTTGCAATCTTCGAATATTTGGCATGAGATTCGCTCCTATCAAATGTAAGGTGATGTTACAGCACTGAACCACATCAACTCCTAGCTTAAAGATAGGGAGTGAGTGAAGTGGCAGAGCGTGTTAACCAGTTCACTTATCTGGGGAGTTGTATCAGTCAGTTCTAGCGGGTTGATCGCTGACGAAATCTCAACACGGATACAGAAGGTTAGTTCCGCATATACTAAATTACGTCATCTCTGGAGTAGACGTGATATCCCGCTGTCGACCAAATGGCGTGTGTACTGCTCAGCAGTTCGCTCTGGCCCCTTTTATGGTTGGCTGTGGAAAAGGGCCATTGAAAGTCGAAGATACGAAAAGGCTAGTTAGCTGTTTTTGAGCATAGCTGTCTGCGTTTTATCTGCCATGTTAAGCGGTATAATAAGGTGAGCAATTTTGGGGTGAGGTGGAGTGCTAAGTTAGGAGAGGAAATCAATCGAAGAGGTGGTTTTATGGTTACACCCACCGAGATGGTTAGGGTGTGTGTTACATATGCCTGGCCATCGCCTTCCTAGACGGGAGATGTTAGCTGACTGACATAGGATCAAGTTGGAAAAGAGCCAGTGGTGGTCAAACCAAAACATTGCATCAGTCAATGAAATCCATAAAAATTAATTAAAGCTATCTACGTAGGGAGATGTAGACTTCCTGGTTAGTGTCCTTGGGATGGCAAAAACCAATGACATATGGCCTAAAAATCGTTCTCAGTGGTGCAGATGCACTCACTCTTCGTGTTTTATAATATCCAATAGAATTCTTATGTTCTTCCATATTACTATTATTTTTGCCTCATACTTCTGTCTGTTATCTCTCTCTCTCTCTCTCTCTCTCTATCTTCTGAATCTCTCCTTGCTCTCTTCTCTTGATTTGTGTGCTGCATGGATTGTGGTAAATCGAACTGCTGCACATCTGTGCAAATTTCTACGTTGAAACCAGTCAGTCAGTCAGTCAGATAGGAAACAAGAGAACAGGGAATCGAAAATGGGCCGTAGCAGCAGGACACTGTTTAGACGCGCTTATAAATGCCTACCAGCGTGATCGCTGAGGGGAGGACGTAGAACAGTCAAAAGCTTAATTTCGGAGGACAACAAGAAGCCAAGAGAACTCCAGCAGACTTCAAGAAATTAATAAATATACTACTATTACCTTCATATTTTACTCAAAAAACTATTTCCACAACAATGGAGGTAAACAAAATCCAATATTTGACTTCGGAAGTGAATCATACAAATTCGAATTCTTAGACAGGAGGGTATAAGCTGTCTTAAGGTTTCACACACCTCTTTTTAATGTGATCCAGTATCTACAAAACACAGATCATGTGGAGTTTAATGTTGGTCAACTTTTTCTACACAGCACTACGGTATAACTTCTTTTAATCACCGTATTACACTTTATCTATTGGTGTAGAATTAAATTTCTAACTATTTTATACACTTAATAAGCATGTCAACTTACAATAGGTAAGGTTATTCTGTCAGTGTCAGTTTCGGCTGTTTCTGGAGTGTCCCCTGTAGATTTTTTGTTATTTGATACCTTTGAAGATTTGCAAAGTTCATCTATTGTTTCTTCATTTGGATTGTACAAGTTCTTTGCAGCTTCATCTCTGGTATCCTGTCAATAAAAGAGTAAGAAGTATAGTTTACTAAAGGAGAGAAAAATAACTTCATAATAATAATACTAGTAATTATTTGACCTATCTTATCTAGACCCTTCACTAAGATGATATTGTGAATACGATAGGCCACTTACTTCGCTACTTCAAACGATGTCAATTAAACACAAAGTACAATGCACATTTATATTTGCACTTAGTAAGCCAAGGCATCATTCTTCAAGCACTGACGTAGGATAACGGTATTTTCACCGCAGTGATCGAGTAGGCAAGTGTATATGTGTTTATTAACTTACAATAAAAATAGTGACAATGATATTTAGCAATCTTTCACTTTATAGTAATCAGAGTGAGTTTTAGACTGAATGAAATTGTAGTAAGGGAAATCACATAATGCATCAAGACGGTGATATACAAACCTTGATCATCAGAGGTCATTACTTGACTACTTGAGATCAATCAAATCGACTGAAGATTATTTTTTTGGTATGCTAAAACCTTTCTCTTATTAAAGGGAACTATATACAACATCATTTGATTATACAAGTTATTTCTTGATCCTGTCCCCTACAATAGTCTTTATCAACTCACTTATTTATTACACTGAATATACATATTAAATCAAGGGACAAATAGTTCAGAGGAAAATAGCCCTCCCAACCAGTACACTGTGCTTCTATATTCACACTGTATGTGCAAAAAAACGAAATACACTTCATATGACAAATATAAATGTGATTTGACATCCGAATGATTATCGCTGAAAATCTCCAGCTAGCCTTATATAGTCAATTGTATTAAGACCAAGTCTTTAGAAATATATAACTGAACCTTACAAATAATATCGAACGTAATCGTTGAGGATGTACACTGGAAAATAGACGAAAGGATGAATTCTGATCGTCTTCTGTCAAGTTATACTACCAAAATATCCTTGAACATTTTGAAAGATAAGCCTCCGTGAACGACCTACGTGCCCAACTCAAAAGGAATTAGGTGAGTTGATAAAAATAAACTGAAATGGAACCAACTGAAAAAAACCCAACAATTATCTATTTCGAATCGTTTTACTGTACACGAAATTCGTTAGTACTCCGTTATCTCTTCTCCTCAACACAGTACCTAAAAGTGAATTCTCGAATCTATTTCTATCTCTGTTGTAAAGTTTATCAATCGATGGTAATCATTAAAGCGGTTTACGATTTCTTACGATTGTGCATGCCGTTGCAGACAATTGTTTCATGTGCTTTACACCATTATATGAAGTCAGTTTCAAAACGATGATTGACCGAATGACTTAGTGTTCTTTGATTTCAACAGTGGTGTATTTCTAGAATAGATAATACGCTACTTCAGTATTAGATACAAAGAGAGAAGAGTAGTTTGTCAACTTCTTCCCCTACTTAACTACATTCGCCTTTCAGACCATCGTTCTTGCTTATCACACACTATCTGGTTATCTTTCAATAAATGCATATTAATAAATAACTTCTTAAAGACTAGTAATCATGACAACGGTTCGAATCTCAGAAGGGACATAAGTTCCTTCAAAGTTGGACATACTCCTTGATGACGACTGCCAACAACTACCAAACCTAGGTCCAAGGCTTCCCAAACCGATTGCTTCCAACGATCTAATACTACCATGTCTTAATAGTCTTATTATAAAATCCGATGAATTTTTGTGCTCTGATATCCCTAATTGATGGCCGAGTTAAACTGTGAGCATCAGTAAGTACCAGTGGAGTGCGACCGCACCAATGATCTTTATTTTTATTTATTTATTTTTTTATTTTTATTTTTGGTTACAGCTTGATTCCACACTGTATTTTCGGTACAAGTGTGGAATTTTCAGCGTGGATATCGGTAGCCCAAAATTCGCAGGCCAACTATAGATATCTTGAAATGCTCAGTGAGCAGGGTAGTGAAACCTGGTAAATAATATTGTAATCATAGATAAAATAAGCTTAACGGAGCGTTATGTTGTTAAATGGGATATCTGGCAAGTTTCAAGTTAGGTTTTGGAAAGATTAAATTAAGATTTAGTCTAAGGATATGTCAAGGTTAAGTTAACCTAATGAAGACGATATTGGGGTTGGTTCGAGCTAGTTTAGGGATATATTTACACTGGGGTTAGAAGACCTATATAATCACATGCATAGAATGTTGTCATATTACTCTATTGATGCCGCAATCCAAAACTGGGAGATATTTTTGTCATATGTCAGAAAAGGATATCCTGTGTAACAGTTTCATTCCTTTTAATATATTATTTTCACGAATATGTGTGCGTCGGGGGCACAGTGGTTAGGACTCTCACCGACCATGCACATGGTCCGAGGTTCGATTCCCTGCTGACGCACACCTGATATCTATGGTCGGCGTGCAAAATTCGGGCTACCGATATCACATGCTGAAAATTCCATACCTGTACCAAAAAATACAGCGTGGAATCAAGCTGTAATCCAAAATAAAATAAATAAATAAAATAAATTTTATACGCAAAAATCGCTTTTATCATTTTGTTGGTGCATTCAAGGTCACCTGTACGTGAGTATTTAGTGGTGCTTAAAGTTAAACTTTGTCATAGTGGCTAGTCCGTTATTAGTTCTACACATTGTTTAACTTAATATTAAAATCTACACACTAGAAATTCATACGATTCTTTCCATTAAAAAACTTGAACAAAGCGACAACGGTAAATCTACTAAGATAATATGAGTTCATCTTCTACCATTTCAAGGATTCTTCTCAACCACCAACAACTTGAACAATGAAAGGAAAAATATAAATCACATAACACTTTTGAACATACTTTTTTCACGATGACAAGAAGTAATTGATAGGAACTTAGAATTAGATAAATTCGGAATGATGTAAGTTGTTAAATTATTAAGAGTTAAAAGGATTGAGTATTTGTAAGATAATTAGACCAGTACTCTTGAGAATAGAGATCAAATTTGTTTTAGGTAGAAACGAAGTTTAACTGGAAGGAGTATGACAACATAATCGGTTACGTAACTACAGAAAATGCTCCTAAAAATGGTAAAAAATGGGGTAGGGTGACTAATGCTTAGATGAGACAATAACATTTTCTAAGGAAGACAGATGATACAAGAGAATACTTGACAGAATAGAATTTTATATTTTGCTGTGTAAATTTAACCAACAAGGCAGTGCAAGATTCAACACTGTCTCTTTCTGCGTGTATAGATTTGGATTTAATTGATTGATAGCGATTGACTCAGGGGAAAAAGTAGCAAGGCAGGTTTCTTCTACCTGATGATTTATATAGAACGCCTTCAGACTGTCCATAATATGACCACCATTCAATAGATGGGTAGTGGTCTAATTATCCCATAAGCAGTCAATCTTTCTAATTCTTACATCATTCCGGACTTATGTTATTATAAGTTCTAGATCTAAGTTACTATAAGTACTCCTTATCATCGTGAAAAACGCATGTTTAAATGTATAATGCATTTTTGCATTGTTCAAGTTGTAGCCAGTTGAGAAGAATCCTTGAAATAATGGAAGATGATTTCATACTATTCTGGTACATTGGTTTGTCCACGCTTTATTCAAGCATACACTCAAATTTATATAAGTAACGAAAATAATACACTAACCTCTTGTTTGACACTACAGTTTTTCAAATCAATACACATCCGTGAAATTTGTAGACGATGTGCATGTCTTTGTGCTCTTAACTCAGCTACACGCTGAGCGATTCTTTCACGAACTTCAGGACTTAACCATGCAGCTGATCCAGCACCACCCTCTGTTGCAAAATAATCTAATTCATCATCAATCACTCTGGTTCGTTTAGCACAAGTAGAATCAAACTCCAATAGTTTATCACGATTGCATAAAGCATTTATCAAGCCTAAAAATTATGCATAATATAATAAGGTTATAGTAATGGAGATACAGAATAAGAATACTGGTGAAGTCTGAAACAGGGAATTTCATCTTAACACAGATCAGTCATCCAGAAAATCATGTCGCCAGTAATTATTTCTCAGTCTACCGCGTTTAAACATAACTTGAGTTGTTTATATTTGTGAAAACTAAAATTACGAATAAATAACTATCAGCAACATTAAACCAGCAAATGCATCTGCCGTTAATTCTCCTTCGCCATGTAAAAGGACCATTAATCCGAATTACTTTTTAACTAATTCGTTTAAAGTATATTTGAGCGTTTTATGATACGGTATTTTCGCTCATTCACCTACGTTCTGTTAAGAGAGAGAATATAGTTACACAGACAGTGATATACATTTACTGTATCGAGTAATATGACTACAATCCTACCATGACTGTCACTGGTCTTCTACATTAGTTTTATAGATTTCGGACAATATCAAGTCAAGTCAGAATGCAAACTAACAAGCTACTGTACGATACCGATAATTATGGTAAAATTCGGTTTCACGAGTAGGTGAGGTGGAAACTGAATATGAAATCCGCTGATGAAAAGTCGAACACTTAGAAAGGTGGCCAACACTCCTTTTAATTTACATTATGATTTAAAGAAACTACATTTCTGTCACGTTGGTTCAGAATCGAAATGATTACTTTGAAAAATAGGAGTTAAGAAGAAAGTTGAATAACTGAAAGAAAATTATTCGAGAAATGACTCGTTATTTTTTTCGGGGGAGGGGGGATAGAGAGTTTATCCTAGTCTGAATAAATATATTTTACATAACCAAATGACTTGCCTTGCTCCAAACGCATTTGAGCTCCGGAGACTGGCTTCGTAATAGTATATCATCATCATCAGTAGAGTCTTCCTGTTCAGTATTCAAGTAACTCTGTCGATGTACTGTCAGTATTTACTCCCTTTTTCTGCAGTTTCTGAGCTTGGCGGGCAATTCGATAATATGGAGTTTCAGTACCAGCAGCCCATCCTACTTGCATAAGTTTATTTCTCAACTTTTCACTTTGTTTAGTATTCATTGCTATCTGATCTTGTTCTTCTCGTGTACAAACAAGATTTCCACAATAATAGCATGGACCTGAACCCTCTTGTGCACAGACAATACGACCACAATTGACACAGTTATTTACTAATTGATGCTTAGTTGCTAAACACTGACAAGGATGTCTACCAGGCAACAAGGAAACAAGTTGGTCACTATGAGCTCCTTCACAAAATAATGGATAAAATTTAGTTTTCTGTTTTTTTTTCGACACATTCTGTGATCGTAAGGATGATGGTTGTTCTGTATCATTCTACATAAGGAAGAAAAAAGGAACGGTATTTAAAAGATATCAACTCATGGATGAATACAACTTTAAAAGCATAATTTCAGATGAATAATCTAAATATTGAGGTGGATAAAAACAGAAGGGTATAGACAATCAACAAATGAAGAATAGGTTCTTTAACTTAACGTCTTCGCTACCTGAGGTAACTGATTTATTTAAACAGGAAGCTACCGAAAACGTGGATTTGATATCTACAGTAGGATCAGTATACATTAAGGTGAGACTGAATAGTAAGAGATTTTCTGCACTTCTCTTCTTGAACAATGAAGAGGGAGGGAGGTTTTTCCTTCAAATTATGATAATGCTCACCAGACATATTTAGCCCAAGAAAAGGTGATGGATTTGGTTGGTAATTTTACAGAATGAATTAATCCTATGGTAGTCTCATCTAAAAACAACAGAATCTATAGACCTAGAAATCATTCAATAGGTTTTCCTTCTACCTATAGATACCTCAATAGAACCAGAGAAGTGTATTGTGCATGATTATAAGTTCTGAATGTATTTACAGTTAGTCTGTCACTTAGATTCGTGTATTTGGATTACCTCTGAAAGTTTTCATGTAGATAAGCTTGCTAGAAAGGACTGAATATGTCTACTGAAGTAGACGAATGGGTGAAATATGTTTGGTAACGAAGCGATAAGCTTATTTATACCAGTGATAGAAATAGTTTTTTTTATTCAAATAACATAATGTTTACCTCGATAGTGACAGGACAAAAAAGTTAAGTGTAATGCAATGCAACCCGAGATCAATGTACAGATTCCCATGGTGTATGCAATTGGTAGTTTACACTTAATGTGTAGTGATATTACCTGATTTCTAAATCTGACAAGTTTTCGAAGACTTATGACTTACAATGATCTGGCTTAAAGCTAAGTGCTTACACCAATGAGCTGTTTCCAATTCACGTCAGTTCATCGGATAATCAAAAGTTAAAAAATTTTTGAGTAAAATCGAAATGGAGACTTGTTTGGAAGTATTATTGTTAAGCTTTCTGCAACTGAGAATATATTTTCAAATACGGACATACCTTTTTTGAAATTGAAATATCATCTAAACAGTCACTTGGAGCGTTGGGATTTGAATTAGTTTTACGATATCCCTGAAGGACAGAAAAAACAACACATTGAAAGATACTAAGCATATGTTGAAAATGTAAGTCATTATTCGAGGTTAGAGAGATTAATTCAGGCGAACGTGATCTTATGTTACTATAGATGAATTGAACTAGGTTTTTAACGTTGGATTTTGTGCCAAGGTTCAGCAGTTTAAGTTGTCACATTTCATAAAAGTACATATTTTTATATATTTACTTTTTTCTTTCCAAACGAAACGTAGGGATTCAGACTTGAGCTTTGGAGTTTCATTAGCAATGGCAATTTTTTATGGTGTGAGGTTGCTAGCCTCCCGTCCAACCTCCCCTCTTCACCAGGCATACTACCGGACAAACGAGGTTTAGGATAGCATCGGCCGGGGACCGAACCCAAGACACTGTGCGTGGTTAACGAGTATTCTACCATCCAGGAACCAACGCACAAAAACATAGATATAATCAGGAAAATAAGAAATGCAGAAAGACTATAATAAACGGAAATGTACGGGAGAAAGAATAATGAGGATTTAATGGACGTGGGAAATCACAAGAATGAATACATTTGCGCCACTGAAAATGATTTTAAACGATATCACCAACAGTTTCAAGCCATTTCTTTCTTAGCATCTCGAGGACCCCAACCACGTTGTCTACATCACCACCCCCTACGTGGTTCAAATCAACACTCAAAGATTTCATGACTGATACCATGCTTTCGTTCAACCACCCCTAGCTTTTTTCTAACCTAATCCTATGTCAGTTAACATTGTTTGACAACAAAGTTGGTGTCTCAGTACGAATAATACATGCCTTAAACATCTCAATCGACGTAGCTTCACGAATCCATAGATTGACTTCCCTTTCTCATTTGTGCTTAGCCCTTACCTTACCATTTTTAACATTATTATGAAATATTTTTGCATCACACAAGAGGGATGAAGCTTCCTCCTAAATACGAATTACTTCGATGTGTGGATATTCTAATATTGTAGTATATAAGGACTAATTTGATGCACTAAGGAAGTTTTCATTCCTATAATTCAAAACAACTAGTTAATGTAAACATTTGGTTGGCATTATTATGAGTTTCATCTAGAAAATATGTATTTTCTCAATACACTTCCAACTATCTGATCGCACATTTACTTAATAATTATTATCATTCTGATTCCTAAGTCACTAATTTATTTATTTTAACTCCTATTACACTTTTTCAAATTGAATTGACATGTAAATGTATGATCACGTTGTTCAAAGTGTATTGCGCAAATACATTATATTTCTTTACATAAACTCCATCTTCTGATAGTGTTACCCCGATTAATGCATTAAATCCACAATCTAAGCTTTTATACTCTATAGATTCTTGGTTGAAGATAGTTGTTTTGTCTGAACACCTAATATTGGAAATTATTTGGCAGTTGTACCGACAGGAACCAATGCTAGGAAGGTAGGAAAAAAAGCGAAGTGTGAAAAGTTGTTGGTATTTACTATTATTCCATAGATTTCGAGAAAAGTACTTGAGCAGTTCGTCTAATTATATTCTACGCAAGCGACCATGTTTTATGAATACAAAGCAGACCCACTCATACCATGTCGAGCATTTGATTATTTTCAAGCATTTTAAGATCACAGTTATTCTACACAGTTCATTAGCTACGAACAGGTGTAGTGAGCTTTAAAAAAAGATCTCATAAGTAAATAGCAAGCTGCTAAATATTCGGATCGAGTGAGACTTATTAGTTCATAAACGAGACACTCTAAGAGCTAAGAAGCTATACCACAGTCTTGATGACCGCTTGGTATTCACATAAAAACACTGGTCAACTATGCGGTAGTACCATATCATGGTGCACTTCACAAGACAGACAAGTGAACTGAGTAAGAGAACACAATGAAATGAGATAGAAGGGACTAAATGTCAGTAGGTAAACATGGATGAAGAAAGTTTTAGCCTATTAGGTGAAGCTTTTATTATGACCCACTTAAAGTTGAACCATATGCAAATATTCAGTAGCGTAAAGCAGTTTCCCTACAGAGAACATACTAAAGAATATATACCGAAAAAATCCATACCAGCTGACAGAGTAGTAATGTATACGAAGATTTACTGAGTAATATACACTGAAACTATCCAAGGGAATGCAAGCTTATTTTTATTCCTTCACGTTCCCAGTGGAACGTAGGACTTCAAGCTTTACCTTTGAAGTTACTGTAGGAGTGGTGTTTATTTTAACGGGGTGGGGTTGCTAGACTCATGCCTAACCTTCCCCCTTTACCGGTCGTATTACCGGCTTAATGAGGTAAAGGAGTGAGTCAGCTGGGGATCTGACACCAGACTACATGATTGGTTGGCGAGCTCTTTACCGCTAAGCCACCGATGCAAGCTTAAATCACTGTAAGGAAGTCTGTCATATTTATACAACAGTTAGTATTTAATAGTGTCACCTAAACACAGGGTGGTCGATACACTTAACAAATACTTGTCATTGTATCACTTTTTACCAAAGATATATACAAGTGAAAAATTAGACGAGGAGTGAAGACAAAGCTGTACAAGCTGATCAAATAGATATTGGGATATGTAATAGTCTCTAAAACGAGAATAGTATGCTATTGATAGGATATGTCATTTTTGTTCTCTTCCCTTTACTATATTTTAGATCTACAATCTTGAGGATTATGAGCTAATACCATAAAACTTTTTTCTTCCCATGACGTTCACGGTCATCATGTTGATTATAACTGAGTTTACTGTTAACCACTGATATCGCTTTAGACCTGTCAATCGAGTTCTGCCGATGTTGTACAGTAGCATTTATCAATGAGCTATGAGGACGTTGGCGGCCTGTTTGAACATTTTTGGGCTACCACATCCCATGTACATTTTGCATCTATTTACTCGTATTTTATTGGTATTTACATATCACATTATGCATTCTAATCGTATTATCCACTCCCGGGATTTTATAAAACGTTTTAAACCCAAAAACTTTCATATTTGCAATAAACTCAAGAAAAAGCACCATAGAGGTTGGCAGCGTGCCTTAAAATCTACACCCATACATCACATCACTGTTCCAGTTATCATTAGTACCAACTGCCGGTCCCTGCCTAATAAAATTCTGGATTTTCAGTCTCTGTTGTCTTCTAGTACCTACCACAATACTGGTATTGTCACTCTGCAAGAAACCTGGCTCCATGACTCATACGATGACAATATTGTGTCTCTAAACAACTTTAATGTTTTCCGACAAGACCGTGTTTGTTCCAAGAAAAAATGTGGCGGAGGTGTTGCAACTTTTATTCACTCAAAATGGTCCATTTCTAACAAACTTTGTTTCAAATTCTCGAATGACTACATTGATTGCATCACTGTGAGATGTCGCCCGAAACACCTGTCAAAATACAAATTCATTTATATTTCTAATGTTTATGTCTCTCCTGGCTGTACCATATTGGATTTATCTATGTTCGCTGATGAATTCACCGCTTTTGCTGCAGCTTGTTTCAAGAACTCTTTATCAATAGTAACTGGCGACTTCAATGGAAGCGATTGCTCCTTCCTTATATCACTTGGTCATGACAATATTGTTAACTTTGCCACCCGTCTTGGTAAAACACTGGACCTAGTATTTATCAATGATGCTGGCATATATGAAACTCGCAAACGTGCTCCTCTACTTAATTCTGACCACTGCATCATACGTGTACTGCCTAAAATATATTCCAAATCACACAAAGGTGTCCTCTCTCACCTCTACAGTGAAGTTCAACGGAGATGCTACTCAAAAGACAACATAGACAAGCTCAGATGCATGTTGAAAGACACTAACTGGGATTTATTTACAGAACAAACATTAGATGAAACAATCACAAACACTACCGATTATCTTAAATTCTGTTTCGAAATATGTTGTCCTAAAGAAACATTTTTCATTCGATTTGATCGCTTATCTTCCCCATATCTCAAAAAGCTACGTAGAGATAAAGAACTGTTGTTCAAAACAAATGATAAGCCTGGTGTAAAAAAGTTAAACATTCTGATAAAACTGGAAATAAAAAGACTAAATGTTTTATATAATCAAAGATTTTTGTCATGTAAAACCACTTCTAATTTATGGAAACTTTTCAAAGAAATTACTAACGGTAAGCGATGTATTTCTGTTCCATCTCTTAATGTTGACACTCTTAATAAATCTTTCATACGCTCTTCTGTTGATACCCTTCCAAATGATACAAATCATATTGACAATAACTTTAGTGGTTTTAATACCCTTGATGTGCTTAGATGTCTCCGGTCTCTTAAGCCTTCTCAAAGCCTTGGTCCTGACGGCATACCTGCCATTGTCCTCAGGAATTGTGCTGATATTTTGTGTTATCCTCTTACTAACATTTTTAATGCCTCTTTTTCCGGTAACGTTCTACCTTTTGCATGGAAAAACATTAAAATTATCCCTATACCACAACCATCTTCTGGTTCTGATATTAAATTTCGGCCTATTGCAATTACTTCCCCCTTTTTAAAATTGATGGAAAAATCACTTTTACTTCGTCTTGAACCCGCTTTGAAACCTTTTAATGATCCTAAACAATTTGCATACAAACATGGTAGAAGTACCTTGGATGCTGCGGTTGTCTTATATCACAATGTTGTCTCTTGTTTAGACAAAGGTGCTAAATATGTTCGTAGTGCTTTCTTAGACTACACATCTGCTTTTGACTCTGTACCTAGGGGCCTTTTGTTAAATAAGCTATCGTTGATACAAACAGGATCCTGGGCAAAGAGTTGGTTGCATTCCTATTTTTCTGATAGAATGCAGTATACTGTAAATAAAGGCAAATCTTCTTCTACCTCGCTTACAAAATCCGGTGTTCCACAAGGTGCTGTACTCTCTCCTTTTCTTTTTTCTTTCTTCCTACATGACCTGCCTCATTCAAACTAAACTAAATTTGTCAAATATGCAGATGATCTGACTGTATCACTGCCTATCACTTCCGAGTCTGACAGCTCCAAACTTAACAGCTTTCTGTTGGACATCAACAAGTGGTCCAAGTCAAATGGTCTTATATTAAATCCTTCCAAATGTCAGGCACTACTTTACTTTCAAGCATCGATGTGACTTACTTGAACTAGTTAACTCGCATGGTCCCTGTAGCATAGATGGCACGGAAATTGAGACCAAATCAAGCATTAAATACCTTGGACTAGTTTTTTCCTCTGACCTTTCATGGTCATCCCATATCTTATCTATCTCTAAGAAAATGTTTCGTCTTGCCTTCTACATTAAAAAGTTAAGACAGTCAGGTATCAACCAACCTTTAGTTTTGCAATTTTTAAACTCCTGTATTTTACCTATTGTACTCTACTGCTCTCCAATAATCTTTCCTGGGCTTCTCAGAAAAGATCATATCATATTACGAAGAGTATTAAATGCTGTGAGTAGGGCTTGTGGTCTGCCACTGCATGAGCTCGCTAATACTATAGTCGAGAGGCATATAAATTCCTGTATGAAATGGGCAAAGGCTATACTGTCAGACCCTCTGCACCTCCTTTATTCACACCTGTCCCCTTGTATCTCATCAGGTAGGACGAGAAGTCAATATAAAAAGTTATATGCTCGTACCACTAAGTATAGAAATTCTACAATACCCTATTTAGCCCGTACTTTATGTGACGAAGACTCTGTTAGACGTGTAACTTACAAGTTACTATGTAATTAGCACAGTGAATCGACCCTTTCATCGTTCATCTTTCTGTATCTTATGGTGTCACACTTTCTATCGTTTAGTTATTACTCTGCTATTTTATTTTAGTTGGTATTACTATTATTACTACAATTTTGTACTTTATGCATATTTTTCTCCGTATGGCATACAGTATTTTGCTATGTAGCTGCTATAACAATCGTTTTATCACTATTATGTAATGTGTATTTTTAATTTTTTTGTCGTTTTTGAGTAAATTAGATGCAATATTGTACTGAATGCTGAAAATTCCTTGCTGTATCATTAGTACTGTTTTTGGAATAAAGCAAAAATTATTATTATTATATGACATGTTCTTTGGAGATGAATTACTTTAAAGTACCAATTTGAACGGATTTGGCAATACATCAGTTCAAACACCTCACTCACCTTTATGCCTGTAGATCAAATATCAAAACTATGACAACTGCATTTTATGCTTAAATACAATACTTAACTGTAATTTTTTGAAATATCGGTTTTCGTAGATGATAGGCTGATATTTGAACAAATAGAAAATAACTAGTGGATATTTTTGGTCAGTGATTACGATTAGCCTGAAAGAGTCATTAGTATCGACAGATAATTAGGACAAGTAATTCAGAAAAGCATTCTAGGTAACTTTAGTGGATGTATAATCATGATTCTGTATATACGCAAAACGTGAAAAATGGAGATTTATACTAACTTCACCGGTGAATCCGCTTCTTCGTATTTTTTCTCGTATTAAAATTTCATAGACTTGGCGATTCTCCGGTTTTCGAGTATCTAATAGGGTAGCTACACGCTTTTTGATAATTTGGGTGTCATCAACTTCCATACAAGCTCTGAATCAAAAAACAGCAAAGTTGTATAAGAAATGTAAAATTATTCAGACCTACTTTATAAAGTCATCTGTAGCTTTTTCTCCTAAAGCTTTAGTTAACAGAGCTTTGACTTTTTCCATTGTAACCTGTGAGAATAATTACACATTCCAAAATTAATGGATTTACACATTAAGCATTTTATTATTGCACAAATAACACGACTATAGTAATTTTTAATTGTAACTTGTCAACTCTAAGCATGTTTGTGAATTTGGCAATGAATTACACCACTAAGTTTGGGCTGGTGGTGCAAATTTTCTACACAATGTCGGTAGTATTTACTTGAAAGTTGAAGGTCGATATGCATGAGGCGCATGCTAAAAATGTATCTCTTAAATGGAACTGGGTGAATATATGTGTAAAACTTGGAACTGGGTGAACTTCCATTCACCAAAGTCAGTAAGTAACATTTTCTTCTGACATGACTTTTAGTATGCAAAGCGCAATTATATACGTTCAAAAAATTTGGAATTGAGGCTTTTAAGAATTTTCTAAGTTTGGATGAACTTAATGAGGTGCATACTGTCAGATAAGAAAGGTAATCTGCTAAGTGTTTTCAAAGTGAGCAGTTTAATTATCGATTTTTATTTCAGAAAAACATGCTCACTTGAGAGATGTTTTCAGTTTCATTTGCTATTTGGTACACCAGACCGAAAGTAGTTGGCGGAATTTACTGTAGAAACTTTGGGGATATCCGGACTTTTCTGTTACATCTAAACTCGGAGATTATTTTTCTAGCTAACTGCAGCCTAGAACCTCATTCTACATTAGAACTCAAGTTTTTCACTTAAACCTTTTTAAGAATGCAACATTTACTCACTAAAATAGCACAGACTAATGTCCTGTTATTGACAATTTTATTCGCTAATAAATACTTTATAGATCAGTACGATGAACTCTTTGACACACAACAGAACTTTAGACAGTTTCCCAGAACTTCATTGACCTTAATTTGCATGTTCCGAAAAATCATTTCGGAACAAAATGGTTTCTTTGGAAAGAAGTGGCGTGAGATCTAAGAAAACATTGCCTTCGAAGTGAAAAGTTGACTATCACCAGGGGGAAAAGACAAACAACTGCGCAGAGTACATAAGTGTCAGTACTCCAGAAAGAAAAATACTGGAATTTACGCGCAAACTGATCATATGACCTCAAAAGCGTTTCGAGTCTCCTAACTGAAACAGAACCCCTGAGTGGAATGAGCCAGGTAACGATTTGTCACTTACCACATTTCTTTTTTAGAAGCCGTTGAATGGTTAATCAATTAGGTGGGTTGTGAACACTGGTTAAAAATTTACTGAAACAATTGAGTCTCACCAAATTTTTAGTGTTTTCATGTTGATAACTAATCTTCTCAGGGAAAGATGCAATGAAAGGCAACTCATAAGCCTGATGCATAGTTATACACTTCACAACGAATGTTATTGTGGTAATTTATATTTGCCTGGACGCATAGCCCAAAATCGGAGAGTCAAATATTCATTGTTGATGAGCAGTGCATCACTTGGGCACTGAGTTATACTATATGTATGAGCATATTCGAAGTTCTATCTTAACAAAAATAGGAATATACCAGAAGAAACCAACAGACCACTATTCTAAGATGCGCCATTAACCAATGAAGTCACTAAGTATCTAGAGTAACGTGAATTTTCCGTCTGAAGCTTTCTTGGCAACTGGAAATTAATGTTGGTGACACCGATTGGTATACTTTGAGAGAAAACCGAATGGTCGACACAAATTATTGCAAAAGAGCACAACGTTATTGTTCAATGGTTTATGTTGCTATCTCAAGTCTTCACATCAGGTACTAATTAGTGAAAAAGGAGTCAAACACATGGGGACAATGCATTCTAATTTGATTATATAACTGTCTTCAAGCATTCTGAGGTTTTAGGAGAGTCAAATGTCCTAACATAATGGTCTTTGGTAAAGGATATATAGAATTAAGAATCACGACACAAGATGAAGGAATACAGTATGGGGCAAACAGATAAGTACAAACCCCTAGATGGTGAAGTGCGTCCACGTCATTTTAGTTGCTTATCAGCTATGTTCCTTCATATCTCTAAAAATATACCAGATGTTCTGGTTTATTTTCCCCATAATAAAATTTTACCTTATACTAAGACGGTGTCAGTTGTTGAGTTTGTATTACACCTTAAGAATACACTATCACTCCTTACAGATGCAACATGAGATAAGAATTTCACAAAGGCTATTAAGCCTTCCATATTCATGCAGAAATACCTCGGGACTCAGTTTACTTACATCGCGTCAGATTTGATATGTTAAACCCTTTCTATTATCACTTTCCGACAATAAGTTGATTTATAGGAAAAATATATATTACAGCAATTGATTTTGGAACAAGTCAATCGACTTAGTTTCTCCGTTTCTTAACACTCACCAACAAAACGAGTCTGAACACTTGAGGAAGCTTATCTTTTCTTTCTTGTTTCATTTAGTTCCAATGTTACATACCTTACCACCAAGTCATGACTCATACTTAATAGAATCAGGATTTGTAATCAAAGTGGTAGTAAGTATAGCTGTTTAGCATCATTTTTACTAATATCTTCTGTTCAGGCGTGTAATGTTTGGTGCTCTTCTGCAGAGCCTTATTAGCAGGCAGAATGTTTTGAACGAAAATTTTCTGATTTCGACAACGAGAGCAAAAAGCTCAAGTTGCAAACACTCATCGCTGATGAACACCAACAAGTAAAAGAAACGAGTAGAGAACATCGCATCGATTGACATGATTCTAATAAAAATATTACAATGCAGCACATCGCCGTTTGGCTCAGCATATGTACCGCATTCGAAACCTGAACGAAGGATTTCCAACAAACGCCCACATACACAGCTATACTGATTATTAATCGGTCATCACTTGGGAAATAATTTATGGACTTATAGACTTCTGCTTTCACAGATCAAAATCAAGACTTATTTAGTCTGCAGTGGGCAGCCGGGAAGTAACAATCGCCCTCACAATCCGAAATGCACACGAAACCTCTCTATTACTCACTCATCTTTGTCTTCATCTTCATCTCTATCATCTTGCCTTCCTTCCACTGATGCAACTCCTCGACTTGATAGCTCTCCACTTCCTCTCCACTCTGCGTCCACTAAAAACGATGGAAGCCAAAAAACCACCACCGACAGCCTCTTAAAGCCGCGCCACCAATTTCATATAGGAGCTCTTAATGTTAGGACACTTTGCCAAATAGGACAACAAGCATCACTAGCCAAGACCCTGGCATCACGAGCCATTGATGTATGCTGTGTTTCAGAAACACGCATACAAGACCCAAGTGTGGTTATTCACCTAACCCCACCTGGCCAACAGGTTGAATCTGCAAAATTCACCTTGAGGGTGTCAGGAGATGCCACAGCTAGTTCACGAGGATTAGCTGGCGTAGGGATAGCTTTGAGTACTAGGGCAGAAAAGACATTGCTTGACTGGATCCCGGTAGATAGCCGAATGTGTGCTGTCCGCCTGAACGGATCAGTAAGAAGGAGGAAGGACTGCACTACTCGCCGATGCCTTTTCGTAATCTCCGCCTACGCCCCCACTGACTGCAGTTCAGATGAAACGAAGGATGAGTTCTACCAAAAGCTGTCTAGTTTGGTGCGAAAGGCTAAACGCTCAGACATAGTCGTTCTAGCTGGTGACTTTAACGCTCAAGTAGGGAAATTGTGTCAATCTGAGAAGGATGTCGGTGGCACCTATGGAGCTCCGTGCCAGCGAACCGACAACGGTGACCGTCTCCTACAGTTCTGCTCTGATAATCATTTGTTTCTTGTAAGCACTAACTTCAAACACAAGGAGAGACACTGTTTGACTTGGAGACCCCCTTCATCAAACCAACGCTGGACACAAATAGACCACATAGCAATAAGCTATCGTTGGCGTGGGTCGGTAGGAGATTGTCGCTCCTTCTGGAACACGTGCGTAGATACCGACCATGCACTGGTCCGCGCTCGGGTGTGCTTACGACTGAACGGACGTAGGAAACAGCTGGCGGTAAAACCATCACGTCCCCAGCTCGATCAGGAAACTAAATCCGTATTTGAGGAAGAACTAGCTAAACACATATCTGTGTTCGACAGCTGTGCTCACCCTGAAGAAGCTTGGAAAAATATCCAGGCAGCCATAGATACAGCTGTAAAAGCTGTGAATAAGGTAAACCCAAAGGTGAGTAAAAACCACTGGATCTCCACCGCCTCATCCGAACTGATAGATGCTAGAAGACTTATTCCGGCGAGCTCCGAATTCAATGAGGAGCGAAAGCTGCACAAGAGGAAACTTACGAAAAGTCTCCGCAAGGACCGTGAACAGTGGTGGGCGACAAAAGCCAAAGAGATGGAGAAAGCTTTGAGGATAGGCAACACCAGGCAACTCTTTGGACTCATCAGGGAAACGGGTGGGAGAAGACAAATCATTAGTGAGACAATCTCGGAAAAAAATGGCACTATAATTAGCTCCAGGATAGACGACTGGATCGTTGGAAAGAGCATTATGAGGAGCAGTTTAATTTGCCCACAGCCACGCTCAACCTTCCGAGCATCCAACACCTCCCTGAATGGGATATAGACACAGGTCCTCCGTCACTAACTGAGGTTACTAAAGCTGTCACCAATCTGAAACTAGGCAAAGCAGCGGGACCTGATGGAATGACTCCAGAGGTATTTAAGTACGGTGGAGACAGCTTACTGTCCGGATTAACTGAGGTACTAGGCAGCGTCTGGGAATCAGAAGAAGTCCCATCGGGTTGGTGTAAGTCACTGATTATCCCCATATACAAGAAGGGAGACAAGTCTTCCTGTGATAATCACAGAGGGATTAGCTTGACTAATATAGTATCTAAAGTCTTAGGCTCAATAATCATGCGTAGACTGAGTGGTGCTCGGGAAGCACAAACACGAGAGAGCCAGGCAGGCTTTAGACCAGGAAGAGGGTGTATTGATCATATCTTCACCCTCCGACAGATTCTAGAACATAGGCATTCCTACCGGCGTCCAACAGTCATTATATTTCTTGACCTAAAGGCAGCATTCGACTCTGTCGATCGGG